TCGCCCAAGCTACAACTGGGTTTTTAAGGCTTTAAATACTGATATAAACAGAAGGAAAAGTACTATATTTCAAATATGACCATATTAGCTACATAAATTTGGGTTACTATCCAATACAGTTCCTAGATTTAAGTAAGATTAATAATCTTAAGATTTCCATCATGTCTATAATTGTTTGGTGTCAGATTTTCTCAAGTCTATGGATTCGTTCTTCAACTTTTATTGTTGCTCTTAATAGAATCTCTTTGAGATTTTCATGGTTGAGCATATCAAGATCATAGTCTTATTCTGATCACTCTTGGACTTCTTTGTGAATGGCCTCTCTGCCTCACCTGTGTCAATACTTATGAAATGGGTGATTTGTGAAGAAACAAAGAGGGGGAGTGTGTGTGTGTATGTGTGTGTGCGCGCGCACGCGTAGCATGCTCTCTACTAGAAGGACAAACTTTAACTCCTGCTTTTTGAATACCTCTAGAGAAGTCACTGAAGGTGCATAGATGGCCTTTGTTGTACACAGTGTAGTGTAACACCACCTGAGCAAACACTGGCTTGCTGCCAGTGAATTGGATGATTTCCAGCTACACCTCTGAATGAAAAAACATCCACTTATACTTGATTTTTTTTTTACATATAAGTTACATGCCATAGTAACATTGAAGAGACAACCTTAACTTGCTGGACATATTAAATAGCCAATAGCCTTTTAAAACTTCTTATTTGTCACAATATTAGTTTATTGCTTTAAAGACAAGAACATGTTGTTATTAATAGGTTGTCTTGAAATAAATAGCTTGCTGAATATACAGAATGGTTACAGAAAACACATTAAGTCGGGATCATCACAGTACTGGGTATTTTTAATGCAATGGCCAGGAATGGATTACAAGTTTTCCATTTGAGAAAAACAAATATTTTGAGATAGCTATGAATTCCACCACATCCACTTGTAATGCTTTTATTGTATTCAGTTGAAAGTTTACCAAGCAAATGGTTTTCTTGCAACCATTCGTACATATATTGTTTAATTCATTACCAACCACATAATGTAACTTTAGTCTTCCTACTTCTTGCCTGTTATTCAGGTCAGTATAAGTAATACTCAGCTTGATGCCTCCTAACAACATCAACAAAAAGCTACCAGAACTCCCTCTTCAACTTGTTATGTATTGTTGAATTGAATCCAACTCATAGCTGACTCTTCAGCAGGTTTTCAGAGGCAGGAAATCACACAGGAGATTTCTCATCTTTCTTTCAGAGAGTGGTTAGTGGATTAAAACCCTGTGCCTTGGGATTGGCAGTGCAACTCCTTACCTCTAGGCCACCAGCACCCCTTCCCCTACAAATAAAAATATTAAAATTAATGTTATTCATAAGAACTTTATATGTCTCAATATTGGCCCATGACCAGCATAATTTAAACCAAATGTTATTTATTGTGAAAGAACAAATCACATTCTTTTTTATGATTTAAATAGTTAATAATTTACCTTATACCAAAAGAATTTGTGGCAACCAGAATTTTATAGTTGAATACATTAGCATTATAGCTGACAATATTATTGTTCATTTCAAAGCCAAGAAATAAAGATGCATTAACTTTTTTGATGATGTGTTCTTCCAGGAAATCTGGTAACTTTACCACCCTTCAATCAAACTTTATTATCATTTGAAAATGTTTTTCTATTTTATTTGATTATAAGCATATCACAGTCGTAATTTCTTTAGCATACTAAATTACAAAATCAAAGATCTAAGAAATCTAATATAATAAACTGTCACCCCATATAAAGATAAGAATTTTGGAGATTCCTAAATAAATTTGCTTTCTAAATACGTAAAGTGATAATTTCCAAAATACTTACTGAGTTGTTTTAGACATATATTAATAAATAATAGGTAGGGGAAAAGGTGAGCATTTGGTTATCAAATGGTTATTCTTCATTCCAAACATTTCAAACCTTTTATGTACAAATTTGTACTGTGAATTATAGGGAGAAAGCAGAACAAGAGAAAAGAACTTGCTAGCCATTTCCATTAATTTTCTTTTACTATCATTACAGAAAAGACATCAGAGTTGAAAGAAAAATTTGACTTTTTTTAGTTCAATCCCCTGCCATTGAACACCTCTTCTGCTTATATTGTTTTCTATAAATTACTTTTCATTCCAGTAATGAATAACAGCAAAAATAATTTTGGTTGAATCAAAAATATGTACTTTTTAAAAACATTTTTTAAAAACATTTCTAGGTTATTTTTCTTAAAGTGAAGAAATGGCAAAGAAATAGTGACTTACTAGTGAAAATCTGCTATAATTAATTCATCAGTAAGAGACTTCCTCACTAGTGATGTTGGTAGAGTCCTTTCTTTATGAGAATAGATTGATTAAAATGAGAGAGAAGGCATGAAAGACTTTATATTGACCAAATGGTTTCAAGGAAGAGCTATCTGCTTACTGTTTATCCCAAGTTATTTATTTCCTAGGACACCTTCCTGCCAGAGTAGTATTTGCTATATTCATTCAAGTATGTTCACTCTAGCAATTGAGCTGGTATCTAGAGACCATCAACATTTCTGTGTAAGGGCTAGCTGTAAATGTTGACTGGGTGTAGAGAGTAAAGATGTGTAGGAGATTGTAATTTTTGGTAACATCTAAATGGTTACCACTTTCTCTTGTAGACAGCAAGTACAGATCTTTATTCTCCTTCAATCTCCCCATGGTGTAGTAAACATAAATAATGTTACATAAACTTAATTCTACGGAAGTTTTAAATTCTGAAGAGAAAACCACTTTTGCAAGTAATATAAAATCAGTTCACTTTAAATGAGAAGTCAGAAAACTATGGCCTGTAGGCCAAATCTAACCACTAATATTTTACACATAAACTTTTATTAAAACTCAACCACACTTATTTGTGCACGCATGGCTTATGCCTGTTTTCATGCTGTAATGACCAAGTTGCAACAGAGACAACGTGGTCTGTAAAGCCCAAGATGCCTGGCCCTTTGAAGGAAAAAAAAAATAAAATTTGTTAGTCGTCAAAAAATAATTTCATGTCAGTTTCATATGAGATTGACATCTAGAAAATAGTCTACTTATTGTTGCTGTTGATGTGTTCTGTTGAGTCGGAAGTGACTGACAGATGATCCTCCAGTGGATTTTCAAAGTCGTTAAATTGCAGGGAGAGGGGAGAGGCTGCCCATCTTTTTCCTATGGAGCAGCTGGTGGATTCAAACTGTGTACCTTTTAGTAGGTAGCACAATTCTTTTCTGCTAAGCTACCAGAAGTCCCATAGTCTGAATACTGGAAAACATACATATAAGTATGTGTGTATCTACCTATTTATCTGTCTATGTGATGTATCTAAACTTTGTGTACTGCTAAATGTGCAGGTAAGGCACAAACAATTCCAAACTTCTAATTCAGTAAGCTAATAGACATTTGCATTTTAGTACATTTCACATTCGTATCATGGGGGTACTCATTTGTTTTTTTTTATGGCAACATATTCTTTTCATTTTGGCACAGAGTCAACTCATCAATGCATTATTAATGTGATTATTATTATTTTTAGTTTATTCAAGTTGACATAAATTTGCTGGTATATATAGAAATCATATGCAGTTTTCTTTAAATATTTTCAATTTTTTCTCTTAAAATTTTCTTATTCCTTTTTTTAACTCCTGTCCTTTTCATTCTACCTTAATTAACTGCTGCTAACAAAAGTCATCTTTTAGTTAGTGAAACCATTGCATGGTAGAGCAGCAGTTAAAAATGAAAACATTGTAAAATTGTCCAGGAGAGAATAACATTTTATTATATTGGCCCATTTTTCACTCCTCTTTTCCCTTATACTGTGTTAAAATAAGGTGAGTATGAAAATAACCTAAATTTTAATAGATACTCTTTTTGTATTGTTGCTTATTCTATTTTTTTTTAGTTGTTAAGCAAGGGCTATATATTTTATATGTCTATATGCCTGCCTCACACAGTGCTTGTGAATTTTCACAAGAACATTTTATTATACCTACCCACTTGAGCCCACTGAGCTAGGACTTCTTTTTTTTTTTTAGTTTGTAGATTTGTAGTATACCTTTGAGATTTTGTCTTTCTATTCTACATATTTATGAGAAAGGGACTTTTCATATAATGAAAGTCACACATATATTTTGAAATTACACTTTCATATTTGTAAAGACTTATAAACGGAATTTAATTCTTGTTCCAACTCAAATTTTTAAAGGACCTTTAAGGTCCATAACAAATGTGTTTTGAGATAGAACCTGTTAGATAAGGCATTAATCTTACTTTTCAATAGGCCTGCCATTTCAGCCTCAGGTTCTTGCGTGCTGATTTTGGTAGTATGTTTTCTAACTTGGCTTCAGTTACACTTTTGTGCCTTTACTGAAATTATATTTCACCAGGAGTGTTACTATGAGTTGCACTCTGTTGGTACTTATTCTGGAAAATTTGAATTCAGAAGTTTCTGAAAACTAGATCTGCATATATGTTGTAACAACCTATTTTAATACAATGGCTCATTTTTTATAAGCTTTTCTAAATTCAGTTCTAAAAATGTATATGAAACCATTTATACTTATAACTTTATTTACAGCAATTAAATCAAACTGATGAATTAAAAGCTAAAGTTCTTATAATACAGTATTAATCTTGTCAGATTCATGGGCTGTCAGATTATTTCACATTTCTCCAGGACTTACATTTACCAGAAAATGTTTTCTAGCTATTGAAGATTTATTGTCTCCCCTTGAAATCCATTTACATTTTAATTCAGTTTTAAGTTACTTTGTATATTGAATAATCATGTTTTATTCACCATTGCATATTTTTAAAAACCTAGAGAAGCAGTGTGACATTTGTACAGACTAATTTGAGTACAAGTAATACAGCAACTGAGTATTTCTTCTTTTATACATCCTGTAAGTAAGGCTTAAGAATAAGGACTAAACATTAATTTTATGGATTTTTTTCTACTCGATAGGTACTATGGATATAGAGGAGAGAAATCGCCAAATGAAAATTAACAAATACAAACAGGTAGCCGGATCAGATCCCAGACTGGAACAAGATTACCATTCGAAGGCAAGATATTTTTCTTCTTAAAACCTTGTGAAATAATCAGTTAATCCTATGAAATCATTAGACTCTCTTACACTGCTGAACGCAGAGTGATCACCTATGAACAAATAATGATAATGGCCCCATAATATTATTATGTGCCAAATTGTAGAGTGTGTTTATATACCTGCTCTTAAGAGTAGAGTTTGCTTTATTTTTTAAAACAATAATACAGATGATTAAAGATATGAAAATCATAAATTATCTGAAAAACAAAATCATCTGAAGAAAAAGAATGTTTTATTTTCTATAATGGAGAAACACCCTGACAACCTCACAAAAGTTCAGCAAGAACGTCCTTTAAAATCTCTGATTTTCTTGCATTTAGATTTTTATAGTACTTTAAGTGACCCTGCCTTGTGACTGATGAATGAAGAGAAAACATATATGGTGGTGTTAGAAGTTCTAAAGGTCTTTCATGAGACCCGTTTGAAATTTTTGAGGGAAATAAAAAAATACTACTGTATGAGATCTACCAAGGGCAGAGAGGAAAGAAGTTGTGTTTGATTGTTGTTTCCATTTATTGCCCTTACTTTCCAAGCATTTTTAGGTGCACAATGTAATTCATGCACCTAAAACTTTACTCTTATATAAGTATTTAAAGCTTAATTTTTTAAACTGAGAATAATTTTATACCAGCTTTCAGATATTATATACCCTCTGATTTAATAATCATTACAGTCATGTAATATTTATCAGCTGTTAGAAGAATGTCAGTTCATATCCTTAGACACTTAGACCTAATATTACTTAGATAAATACTTATACTTATTAGACCTTAGCTACTTAATTTTTAGTTTCTCTCCATCATATGCCACTTCCTGGTAAAGTAAAAATTTACTAAGTAATTCGTCACTGAATATGTAAAAATTACATATATTAGTGAGTGGAGCCAATGTCTAGTAATTCTTTTAAAACAATTCAGAATAAGTAGAAATGCTTGCATCACCATTTGCTCCCACGCCACCAGTCTTTTCCCCAATTTCCTTCATTGGTGAGTGGGTGAAGATAGGATGGTTCAGCACAGAATTCCAGTGTAGTGGAATACAAACGTATAGCGAGAAAGAGGTAATTTCAAGAAAAACAGAAACAGTCTTGGCTTTATTTAGCAGGTCCTAAACTTCTATATTTTTATTTTTTCCTCAAAAATTAGAATAAGAATAATTTCCAAAATATACAGTGAAATTAATAGGGAGTAATCTATCAGTATGTGCATAGTCTTTTGCACTTGATGTCAGAATGATGCCTCTGTGCTCCTACATCTCTTGGTGTTTGTTTCCAGTTCTGTGGATACACTGGACTTTTTATAGTATCTATTTTGCTCTAGTAGCTTATCCATTTTATATAATCTGAAATCCAAGGCATGAAGTCTTAATTAGATAAGCTACTAAAGTTACTCTAAAACATGATTTTAGATAGCACAATTTATTTGTGTGTTCATCTATTTATTTGGATCCCACTGTACTCTCAGAGGCAATGTAGATAATAAATTTGTCAAATACTTATAATATTCACAGTAATTTTACTAATGAGAAAATTAGTATCAAAGGAAAATAAAGTCAGGATAAAATAGAGTAAGCCTAGATATAGTTTATCAATAAAAATGCCTAACAATGTTGGATATATTTTTACCCTGAACTTTCTACCATCAACAAAGGCAGAAAAAGAAAGTTGGCTAGTTATTTACACAGTTTAAAAAAAAAATAAAATCTTTGTAAGCAATACAAAATAATCTCTGTTAAAGTTACCAAACATCTATTTGTGACACAAATAAATCTATGACGTAAATTGACACTGTATAAATAATTAAGTCTGCTTATTTATAAGTAAATTATTACAGCCATTTGTTTAAAAAAGAAAACCAAGGTTTGGTTGTATTTTAGTTGATGGTAAATGAATGGCTAAGCCTTCAAAGTTTTAGGTAGTGACACAATTTTAGATTGGAAAAACTTGAAATCTTAGTAAAAATTAACTCCAAGAAAACATTTACTGAGTATTTTCAGAGAGCAATTCCAGGAACAGTGGTATCTGTATCAGCAGGGAACTTTTAGACAGGAGACATGGTGGGGTACTCCAAACCTGGATGATCTTTTGACTCTAGGGGTGTAACCCAGCATTCAGCTTGACAAGCTCACAGGTTCATTTCTCCAAAGTCAGCTGTTTATAAAATGTATTCCTAAGTCACTCAATGATTTCACTTAGCTCTTTTAGGACCAATTTGGAGTTCTGGTGGCCTAGTGAATAAAACATTGTGCTGCCAACTTAAAAGTAGACAGTTCAAATTCACCAGTTGAAGTTAGTTTTCAGTAAGGGATTTTTACACACACACACACAGAGAAGTTATATTAAGCGATAGATAAATTAGTTAAGGGATCTTTTACATACTAACGTTGCCTTGTCTTAAAGATTTCTACACTGACCTCCTTTTTCTAATGTGAAAAATCTAGCTTATATCTCCGTTGATCACATCCTTATTTTGATAATAGCTAACAATTATCAAGGATGTTGAGCAGCTGTGTACCTTAAAACATGAAATCTAACTCTTGACAAAAAGAATAAGTAATTTTAAGTAAATTTGCCACCCAATCATAGAAAGTATTAATTGAAGCTAGTTTTTAAAATCTGAAACAAGATGGAATTAAAACCTCAGACCTATTCTGAGCAACATTTGTGAAATTCTAGTGCAACATATCTGCGTGGAGTCGGTTGACTGGTAAGCCCACTTCACCACAATAGACTGTACCTTCCTTGTTCTAAGTGGCATCGCCTACCTACAAGCCTTTCTGGACGTGCAGTAATAAATAGTTTCATCTTTGTAACTCTGAAAGCATTTCTAGAGTTATGTCTACTAAGTTACGTCCTTTCTAAGAGTATTAAAGTATATTAGGAAGGCAGAGTGTTTGTTTTTAAGAGAAACTACTAAAATTCAGATGTATCTATAAGTCCATTGTCCATTGTCCAACCCATGATCTGACAGTTTGTATCTTAAGCTTTCTT